ATGTCGCGCTTCACACCGTGAGTTTAATCACACTTCGATCGATATTACCCGCCCAATTTTGCCGCTTATATGGAATCCACCACGCTGTGAAGTCGACGGGATTTTTGAGGCCTCTCATATCAATCCTGCCTGATGAACCATTGAAATTGACTTCACAATCATCTAGCCGATAGCAAGGGTCTCGACCACTGGGGTGGGGGTAGCGAGTGTTGATGACAGAAGAGGGATTATCCGAAACCGACGTTCTGAGGGTGATTTAGAGTTAATGAATGTCAAAGGGAAGACGTTTAAGTAGTGTGGTCTTAAGGGGAGGCAACATAACAAATGGCACTTAAAGTAGTGGAAGAATGTTAATTACCCAATAAACTTCGCAAAATTAAAATTACGCATTAATTGTGAGCTGTTTGACTACAACGACTGTACGGTATAATGTGTAGAACTGGGAAGGAAAATTATCATGAAAAACCGTCGACCACCGCGGTGAGGATTATAGAGCTCAAGGTAGCTGAATAGGTTAGTTAAAAGGATGCGACAAAACCTTTTGATTTGGACCGGAGGAAGGCCTCGCGAATATTGTAATAACTGTATAACTATCAGTTCATAACTTAGGCAGAAATTTCTGGATTGGCTTCGAATACAGTAGTTGGATCAGTATCTGCCAATTGCGACCTCAATACTCGTGTAAATAGTTTACTTAAATGCTATTTCTGCCGGAAGAAAATTGTGTAACCCTAACCTCCGTCAACTCGGCAGTAATATGCGTTGTCATCCATGCGCATCTGCTTTTTACTGACACATAGCGGAACTGCAAGGGTTTCCACCCATACGTAAGATCCCCCGAGTTACCTCTTGTGATTTTTATCAGAAATCTAGTCTTCAAATGTTATCGTTTAAGTTCGCTTGAACGATCATGAAGGCTGCCAGAAGCGGATTTACCGAATCTGGTTCAATGTTTTGAACATCTGAGTTGAATTCTATCAACATCACGCAAAGCCTCAAGCTTACCTCTAAAAGCCTATTCGCCGTGTGTTTCGCACACAATATTTTATTCGAGAGCGAAAGTTTTAAAGGCCACGACCTCTCTATTATGCAGCTGGTTTCATTTCGGAAGTGTGCAAAAGCCCAGTGGCAACCATTTTGATTAAATGCACCGGACTTTTTCAGGTGTCTGCGTCCTCACTTATGTGAGGTCTTTTAAACAAAGAGCTTGAAAGAAAAGAAGTACGCCTAATTTATTCATCAATCGATAGCCCGTCATAGTGCCAGTTAAGTTACAAGGATTACTTTCGCTCTTGTCCGCATTGTGCGACCCAATTACCGAACGCAGAAAATAGTTGCAACTAGGTGTTAATACTGTTGATAGGAATATAGATTTTTTAATTTCATAGACTAAGGTCAAACATCTGCTATGGACTCGCTGCATATTAACGAGGCTTAATGGTTCAGAGGAAGTTCTCGCCAATCTCTCATTAAGGCCAGAAAAGAGATAGCAAAACCGACGGTTAGGGTCAAAACAGCCAGCACCGCGTTCGTCACATGCCCCAAGTGGCCGTGTGGAATGCAAATCAGCCCCCGCTTGAAGGTGCACCCAGCACTCGAGAGGTAAGGTCAACCTGTAGACATTCAGTGGTGTCTATTGTCGAAAGCAAGTAAGAGAATTTTGAACGGACCGACAGTATATGCAGTCTTGAAGACACGTCAAACTAGGAAATTGAGATGCACACTGATCCGTAGCCACCGTGCCTACATACTTTGCGTAAACCAAACACCAATCAAAGCCGGATCGGTAACATGGTGTGAAATCTCCGTAAGTAAATCCTCAAGACAGCAATATGGCATAGGTTAATGAGAAGCATTGTACGGAAAACTGACTAGTTGTTTCAATTTGGTACCTAAACTCTCGGGAGGAGTCGATCGATTGGACAAACAAAAGTGAAGCTGATCGTCAGACAAAATACAGTGGGCTTCGTCAGCCGAAAAAAGACAGGAATTTCATGAAAATTTAAATAACAGGCGGCTATCTTCTGTCCGGGTTAACTGGCTGACGTCGCTAGTGCGGGGTTGGTAAAAGCGTCTCACAAGTACCACGTCTTTGACTACTGCCTTTTGGTCCTCATGATAAACACTGTACAACCCCGAAGATCCAGCCAAATAGACGTATAATAACGGCATTCAATCGGGTTCCATAACTTCACAGAGCGGGTCTCATTTCATGATGTGAGGGTTCCATCTGGCTTTCATAAGAATCGAGCAGACTTTATCCGGTTATATACGGGCCTCGGTCTGGCACCCTAACTACTGATATCATACCTTTCATTGTCTTAACTAGAATTTGCATTGTGATCGGAGAGTCCTTATCGGTAGCTGCTGTGGGAAGTTATTTGGAACAAAATTAAATTATCATAGATAAAAAATGCTTTCTTACCCAGAAAATGTCATTCAAATTCGTGTTTAGGTAAAAGCTTCGAAGGATAAACGAGAATATACTTCATACAGCTATAAAAATCGTTTCAAGTGATAATTTTATGCATCTCACTCTTTGCGTGGCGTCATATAAAGGTGACAGTTAAAATGCATAACGTTACTTCCCTTAGCTACGAAATAACGAACCAAATCAGGCCTTCTACAGTAGCCAGTTATGATGAGTAAACCCAAGAGGCTTAAATAACATATCTCTACCATGGTCTACATACTATTTCAAATAGCACCAGCTCCGGAATTGCATGCAGTACATACGTTACTGAAGCTATATGATGTACATTTTCGAGAATCACAACCGCAATAATAAAAGTCGTAGTTGAGGGACAAGCTTACCAGCCAATGGACAGCACTGCAGATCTACAGAGATGGCTCCGCCGAGCTTAGTGCGCAGGCAGTAGGTAAACATAGCGTTAAATCAACTCTCATTGGGGCTCGAGACTTCAATCTTCAGATAGTCTAGTTCGGACGTCTGTAAGTGCCCTCTTCACCACCGCCATAAGCGTTTCAGGTTTGGTCACTATATATTGATAGACTGTACATATACATATTCAGCTCGAATATTTTAGACGGCTCGGGTTGGTGCTATTAGGAGCCCTGATACCCAGGGACAGTAGCTTGGACATGCGCCGATCGCCTGTCATACGTTGCATAGGCTATCGTCAAGAAACATCAACCCTCTGATGTTTCCCGATAATTGTACTCAACACCGTAGAAATATTTATTTCTAGGGTCTCCA